TTCAAGCAGAACTAATGACATCATCAGCTGCTGTCAGAGACGCTCCAACCAGGAGGAAGAGTTAGTTCAATTACTACTGCGGCAGGAGCAGGGGGGCGGCCAGCGGGGGCGGCCAGCGGTGGCGGCCAGCGGTGGCGGCCAGCGGTGGCGGCCAGCCGCAGCACAGCTTTCATGGATCTACCAGAAGCGTCCTTCCAGCTCAGAGGATCTAACTTCCCTTCCACCTAAAAACAGCCTTAAATAGCAGCAAAGTTCTGCAGATCCTGAAGGAACCTGGAGCTTCACCATCATGAAGCTTTAAAAACCAGAAGATCAGAAAGTCCTTCAAACGTCTCCAAGAAGGACGGAGCAGACGGGACCTCCTCAGGAAGCTCTGGTCCTTCAGATGCTGCAGATCTTCAACCAGTCTGATGATCAGAGTGTGACCTCCTCCTCCTCCATCCTCATCATCATCATCATCTTCATCATCCTCATCATCGCTAATGACTGAAAGAAGCTGATAACGAAGGCAGCGCTGGTTAAAGATGGCCTCCCATGGTGTTTATTCTGATCACATTTGAACCCAGTTAAGGATCCGGTTCTGGTTCTGGGTTGGATGGATCGGCTCTGATGTTCCTCATCGTGGTTCTGGTTCTGGTTCTGGGTTGGATGGATCGGCTCTGATGTTCCTCATCGTGGTTCTGGTTCTGGTTCTGGGTTGGATGGATCGGCTCTGATGTTCCTCATCGTGGTTCTGGTTCTGGTTCTGGGTTGGATGGATCGGCTCTGATGTTCCTCATCGTGGTTCTGGTTCTGGTTCTGGGTTGGATGGATCGGCTCTGATGTTCCTCATCGTGGTTCTGGTTCTGACACGTAGATCCATGCAGCTTAGATCAGCACATCTTTAGTCTCTGGTTCATCATCACTTCTATCTAATGTTCTGATCTCAGCAGAAACTCATTTATCTGAGATGTTGAAGGTAAACGCAGCTCAGGACATGAAATCTCCCTCAGCTGATAACCAGCGGAACATCCTGTGATGTGTCAACAGTGAGGTCATCGCCGCAGACCGCCGCCTCAAGGTCACCTCCTCTTCACTCTGAGACCATTTAGAAACGAAGCCAACAGCTGGAGAACAGCTGTAGCTGAGGAACGTCGGCTACGCGTTCCCCGGTTACGCGTTCCCCGGCGTCAGCGTCGCGTTCCCCGGCGTGGCGTTCCCCGGCGTCAGCGTCGCGTTCCCCGGCGTCAGTGTCGCGTTCCCCGGCTACGCGTTCCCCGCCGCCACTGCCTTGTTAGCCGCTTGGTGACGAGTTTTACAGTAAAGCAGTTTCCTTCTTTTTGAAACAGACCTGCAGCAGCAGGACGGACTTTAACAACAGGACCAAGAGTCCCCACAGCATGATGCTGCCACCACCATGCTTCCCTGCTTCATAAAATTGAAAACCAGTGAAAATGTTTAAAAAAAAACAAGCAGATCTTTCATCTCCACCGTTGCCCCAAAGCATTCTGGGTAAACTGGATAGAGGAAAGAAGAAGCTGTCCATGCTCTCCATGGCGCTCTGCCAGCTTCAGTTCCTTTCTAGGATCCATGTTTGCTGAAAGGTTAGAGGTCACGGAGGTCGTCTGGCGATAATGAAGGTGCACGCCTTCTCTCATCCAGACTCTTTTTTCTCCTGAATTAATCATCAGAGCTGAACGCTCTCATGGTGGACGCCATCATGGCTTCCTGCTGGTTGACCTCAACTCTCCTTCCAGCCAATCAATCTGGGCTGTTTGTGCAGAAAGCAAACAGTGTTGCATAAAAATGAACAACGGCAATTAGTTGCAACAAAGGAGCAGTCTAGTTGATGTTTATCTGCGGCCCAACGCTGAGCAAACACCTCAGAGGAGGAATGAAGGAGCGTTTAGCTCTGAGCTACGAGGATCAGGCGGGAAATTTCCACCATTTCTCCAAACAGGACGACTCGCCTCACAGCGAAAGGAGGGAGAAGTTCCTCCAGGTAGGAACCACGACCAGGAAGTTCTGCCCGACCCGCCGGACCGACACTTCCCACATTCATCTGATCCACAAACTTCTGTTCTGTGATCAGGCCCGGTTCGGATCGGGTCAGAACCAGATCACAGCTCAGAGTCGGTTCTGTGCGGATCTATTTATAGAATGACAACGGACCGGAACCGCGGTCCAGTTCTGGTTCCTTCTTCTCTTTAGAGCAGCTGGTTCTGATGAAGGGTTCAGATCATCTGATGGTTTCCTGAAGACGCGACGGCGTTGGTTTCCTGGAGGCCTTCAGCGTTTGGCCGTAAACATCCGGAGACGTTGAAGGTTATTAATGTTCAGACATGCGGGAACAGAAACGGCTGCAGGTGCAACGGCTGCAGGTGCAACGGCTGCAGGTGCAACGGCGGCGCCTGCATGCCTTCAGGAAACAGGGAAACGCCACCAGCAGCATTTATCATGCAGGAAGGTTTTCTATGAACTGATCTTTTATTTATAATAAAATCACTTCAGCTGAACTAATCTTCTGTAGCGCTTGTTGAATAAACAGACATTCATGGACTTCCAACCGAAGAGGCGGAGCTTCGTAAACAGAGCGTCTGTTTATGAGCAGCGGGACATTTATCCAATCACTGCTTCCCTTCAGACACAGATCAGCGTTTTGATTGATAAAGAAACAATCAGTGAAATGATAAAACGCCACCTTTGCTCACAGGAGGAATAAATCTAATATTGCTCATAAAACTGCCTGCATGTTGCAGCAGGAGTCAAGTTAACCCCCCCCCCCACGGCTGAACCACAGTGGCCCCTTTGAGCATCCGCTGCCCACAACAGAACCCACATAGCCATCACTGCCAACCCCAGACAAAGGCTCCATGTTACTACAGCCCACAGTTAGAGACGGGGGGGGGGGGCTGATGGTGAACCGGGTCACGCTCATTCAGACCTCATTTAGTTTATTTCAGCGTTCTGCAGCCTGATGAGCAGATATTTATTTTTCTCCCCTCTTAGCGCCGGAGGGCCAAACACGAGACCCTCCAGGGTGACGGACTGTCCGCTGCTGAATCAGCAGGACGCACGTTGCGTAATCTCTCACACCCAGAGGGGGGGGGACTCTTTCCTTTGACAAAGAAACTTTTTCAGATGGAGGAAACAAAGGCCTGAAGCAGAGCAGAGCTTCATGTAAGCCTCCGTTCCACTGAACTGGTCCCAGTAAAACCAGTGAGGGAGATGGGATTCTTTCAGCCCAGCAGAATGTTTCTAGTTGAAGTCCATCCACACAAAGTGAGGAAGACGCTCCAAAACTACTCACTGATGAAGAAGTCTCCTCTTACACAACTCTAAGATAATAAAGATGGCCGCCATCGCCGGCTCCAGCAGTGACAGTAAACAGAGGAACGCCGCAGACAGTCAGAGATAACGCCGTGAGACCTTCAGGTCACCGTAGACCATCCTGGGCTGTGGAGATCTACAAATGCAACATCTCTACCAGGACCAACTGTTCTAGTCCACACAGATCTACAACTCAGGTGTAATCAGAGCAGCGCACAGGAAGCATCACAGGTGTGACTGCAGCAAGCTAACGAGGGCCGCCATCACGCTGGGAGAAGGTTCAGAGCTGGCGATGGGAGGAGGGGCGGAGCCAAACCCTGAGCAGACCAGGAGGAAACCATCAGGACCTTAGGAGCATAGATTCACCTTCAAACAGGAGCGTTAGCATTAGCTTAGCTTACTGTTATACATGTTTGGTCTAGTTAAAGTTCAAACCCGGCTTCTGCTGGTTTAACGTGGAACTTCTAGCATAAAGCCTCCATCTGAGGATGTAGAGCTAGTTTACAGAGAGGAAAGGAACCTAGATGTACAGCCAATAGAGCTGCAGCTGAACACAGAGCTGTGAAGTCATTTAACTGAGATCAAACAACAATAAAGTTTAAAGACAACAGGATTGTTTTCAGAGAACCAGCAGGTCAAAGTCCCC